AATATCGTTGTAGAGAACGAAAATTACAAAACGTTTATAGAATATTTACCTATTTTTTTTTTATGGTGTTTATTGACCGTTAGTTAATGATTATTCGGAGATCCTGGGATGCAGTCTGGTGTGACATAGGTTTTAGAAAAACATTTTCTTTATCGAGCCAACGTTTCGATCTTTATTGAAATCATCTTCAGGGCTTGGTGTTTACAAACATTGTTTAAATTTAACAAATACCTGTAGGATGTGAAAAAATGAATTTATACAATGCTAGAAAATTTTAGATAAAAAAATTTATACAATGCTAGAAAAATTTAGATAAAAAAATACATAATAAATTTATACAATGGTAGAAAATTTTAGCTGGGCTGATAAAAAACCCGCGACCCCATCTATTTAGGTACGTCGACGACATACTAGCCATAACAAACAACTCTTCCCCAGAAAACACACTCAGAGACCTCAACACAATACACAAAAACATTACGTTCACTATAGAAACCGAAAACAACAACAGCATCAACTTCTTGGACTTAACACTCATCAGAACCGATAGCAAAATCGACTTCAAAATATACAGAAAACCCACTGCAACAGACAACATAATAAATGCACAATCCAACCACCCACACCAACACAAACTTTCAGCACTGCGACACATGGTNGTATGGGAAATTATTTTGATTAAAGAACATTGCTTTAAAGTAACTAGTTTCTTTTTTTTTGTTTAATACCAAAATCCTGCATTATTTTCCGGACAACCCAATAGCATCACATGTCAATGCGGATACACTTACATCGGACAGACTGGAAGGAAACTAAGAGATCGATTCAAAGAACATCATAGATCCTTCAGAGACAATGACGGAAAATCAAATTACGCCACACACTTAATACACTACAACCACGAACCAAACGCAATAGAAACAAGCATGACATTCATACACAACGCACAAAAAGGACGAAAACTAAACATACTGGAGAACCTCGAGATATACAAACAAATAACACTTAAAGATGGAACACTTATAAACGCACAAACAATCACACACCACCTTTACACCACTAAAAACACTTCATAACAAAAAACGAAAACGTTCAGAAGAACAAAACATCGCAACCAACATCTGGAAAAAAACCAAAAACCAACAACGCACAAATAATAACTGACAATGGAAATAACCGCCACCAAGACTGACCAACGAGCACGGAGACCACGCCCCCAGCGACAAGCGACGGACGCAATACTATATGACAGACAGATTTTCACTGAAGATGGCGTAATGCCGAAACGCGTTTGAATAACTCAAACAAAATACCTGCGAGTGAAGACAGACCCAGTAGTGCCCGTGTGCCGGTTCAACATGATTTTCGAATAAGTATTTCATTTTATTCATTAAAAATTCGACAAATGTTAAATGAATGGCTGTAGCATGGAAAACATTAGAATAATCCCAACAGTGCCATTTAATATCAAGCTAAAGAAAACAATTCAGTAATTTAAACTTATATCAATTTGATATCATTATAAATTAATTATAAGACATAAAAATCTAAACACGAATGGCTTGAAAATAAATCATAAAAACAAATTAAAATCAAAATAGACCAAAAGAAAAAAAATGAACCAATTTCTTTACCCAGCGAAAGATAATACTTTTTATCCGTAATACAAATTAAATTCACTAAGTCCTTGTCGAGTAGAGTTACATTGTACGATTCTTGCGGATTAGAAAAGGGCCAGGGTGACTAATAAGCAAGATTTACTTGTGAGGTTTGGTGGATAAAAAAAAGCCCCGCCAATTGAATTTCTCCGAAACACCCATCCGACCCCCTAGGGCGCAGATCTTCCCCAATCACAAAACTGCAATCCACCAAAACCCGGAATGATAGAAAAACTTGGACACAGAGAAATAAGTAATGCGTTTATCCGACTTCGGAAATGGAAAAGTGAGCAAATTACAGGAGAAGCCTTTTACGAACAATGGTTCAGAAACTAATTCCGTTCCGTTTGTAAGAAAAAAAAAGGCTAGCCATCGCAGATCAATAATCAATACACGAATAATTGTACATGTGTTTATTGAATATTAACTATCTTCATAATATATCCTTTGAATATAAAGTACGTATTATGTTCTAAATCTATTGTTATCTGAAAAAAATCAAAAAAGAAGCTAATCCTACTAGAAGATTTCGTCTAAGTACCACTCAAAGACATGCTCGTTCTCCAAGAGGCTTATACGCAACCCCATTAGGGCCAAATCTAAAAAAAATGTATAAAGAAAGGCCTAGCATACCTTTCTTCTATATAACCACACCGACAGAACCAGTTGTGCGGTTCTGAGTTGGTGGTGAATACCGTATTTGCAGAAAGCGCATTGATTTTCAACCACAACACAAAATCACAACTATTGTGCGTTAGACTGAGAAAATCTCAGAACAATTCTACAGCAAGAATTGTTCAGGTAGAAATTGCACTTCAATCCCAGGTCGAGTTAATGATCTTCACACCTTTCTCTCATTCATTCTCGAGAAAACACAACCTGCTCATTTCCAAAGAGGTATTCAAAGGACTGACGATTTTCAGCCAGCTTCTATGAGAGTCAGTAACGACCTTTGCGCCATTAGCAGCGCAACACAAAAGTAATAATTAAAGAAAATAGAATGATTTTTTATCTCGGTTTGAAATTTGTTTTTTCAACACAACAATAGTATTAATCATTCCGCTCGGTTTTAGCAGGTTGAGCAACAGTTTTAAACAAAAAATTAAGGTATCAAATGTTTTCTTATTTATTTTTCATATACTGCATGAATTTTGTAGCTTAGAACATAGAAATTCAATTTGCAGAATTTATGAGATGACAATGCTTAAATTTTTGAACATTAAAACGCCATTAGGGATGAAGCTAAATTGGAAAAAAACATTCAGTTCATCCTTCCAGCTTTCGATAAATATGTCCTTTTGATCAAAACTTTGAGACTTTAATTAATAATTGAAAAGGTTAACACATATAAACTGTTCACTATTTTAAAACCAATTTCAAATACAACGAGGTTAATTATTGAGATCGAAACCCACCAGTTTTACCAGTGCATTTTGTAGGAAAAAAATATATCCGATAAATACTAATATCTAAATTCATCAGCAGAAAACAATTTCAGTACATTTCATTGTAAAGAATGAGACGTCACGTAGCTTTTATCAATTCTTACAAATCCTCTTGAGCCTGTCCGTCATATAACTTTTGGAGAGAAAATATTAATCTAGCTGTTTCCTTACGTGCTTGATCTAGAATCAATACAAAAATACACTTTTACCAGACAAAGTAATCCCGGGCTATTGGGATTTTACAACCACGAACGTGTTGCTATCCAATTCATTCAGCAACTTCTTGCCTGTTATTGCCAAATGCATTCACAATACGGTACATGGATTATATTTTAGCCAACTTTTAGTAATTTGGCGCAGATAATGTCTATTGTATATGTAAAAGTTGGATAATAAAACCAATATCAACTGGGGAAAAATTATATAAAACAATTGGATTTGTATGGTTATACAATCAGTGATAAAAATTATACAAGGTAGTGGCTACTGGCTACTATAAACATAGAGCATATGTAGTGGAAAAATTGTTTGAAAACAGATACAAAATTATACATGACATGCGCAAAAGTAACTTACGCAAAATAAATAAAATAAATCAGGAAAATCGTGTATTCAGCAATTAAAACGTTGGTTACATTTATGTATTCCTGAATTCATGAAGAACCTTCTTTCTTAAGTGTTCATATACTGCGTACCGTAAAAACATTCGTACGGAGAATTAACAGTGATAAATATTTATATAATTTTCTTATTACGAAAGACGATACCCCCTCAAGACTTTAAGGCAAGTTCTAATGATTGCTTTGCATATCAAAAACATAGAACTACACGTAGCAAAGCTATTTGGAAAAGAAATTCTAATCGATAAATGATTCCGATGTGTCAGCTTATTTGGCAAATTGAAATCAGGTTATAAAACATTGTCTGATAAATTTAAAACTAATTAATTCAACCGTACGGCCCTTTTCCATATTCAATGGGTTAATGATATTTGACCGCATAAATTTCAACCGGCAACTTAATAATTTAATAATTATGCTTTTACATTCAGAATAATTTACAAGCAGTCTATGTTGAACTTAGAACGAAACGATAATATTAGATGTTCACCATATTGCTCGCCGTCTGAAGAAGACACAACTATAGGTTTAGGGATGGTTTTTTTCTCTATCTAGTTGTATTTTATGAAGTAAGCATTTATTGCTAATTAATCATTTCATTCAATTATGTAATTTATTTATAGAGTCTGATGTCACTAATGTGAGGCTAGATGTGAAACTAGCCCATACGTTTCGAATAAGTTTTAAAAAATTCCAGGAAGAAGACACGAGTCTTAAAAGTTTACGAACTCTTGCTAGATTTGATTTAAGTGCATCTGCCTGATCGTTGAACTAGCATAGGAAACTTGCAGGTAAATTTTAACTTTCCCCTCATCAATGATGATCTTCAACCTGAATATCATCCCTTAGAAATTGCCGTCTTGTCGCAAAAACCTCTAAAAACATCCACTGATAGCAGCAAATATCCGAAGCATGTGTCAAAAATTTCATCATTTCGTTAAATTACTGTATTATATTTTTAATAATCTTCCCTATATAACTCAAACAGATAAAATAATCACATACCTATAACGTTTCTGTTCGTCTTAGGTAAGAAAAGTACAGTCAAGGTTAAGCTATTTCCTTATATCAAATTTACTTTCATCCTGGTTGTATTTTTGTGGTAATACATTTTACATGTTAAAACGTTTACTGTAAAACAATGTTGGATGGCGTGACATGTTTGAATCTCTGTGTGACGTACAAAAAACGTGGCCATAGCTATGGCATTGACCTATTTAAGTCAATGTTGGTGGGCTAAATTTGATTTACAAACCATTTTCTACGTTGGAAGTCGTTGAAGATCAATACTTTTTCTTTTGTTTGATTTTTACATATGTAACACAATACTTAAGAACAAAACTTTTGAGATGAAAAACATGTGAGGAGAATTCGCCCATTGGTGACCCTCCTATAGAAGAAATAAATAATGACTTCACGTTTTCAATTTTCTTCGTCTCTATGCAGGGCATCACGTGGCCATCGGAGTTTCCGTCGATCGGAGGATTGATGGTAGGAGGACTGGGCTGACGGATCAGCCATTGAGATGTGTGGAAAGGGATTAATGGATATTTTTGTAATAGGTTTTGCTACTTCTGGAACAAAGGGAATATTAACGTTTCATTGGAATCTTTTGCCGAGTTGGGAGTTGGAATGCTTGGGTAACAGAGTTCGATACAATTCTTTTGTAGTTTAGTAGCTAAGTTTGGATGGGCTGTCGAGCAGTGGTGATAACAGTTTGTAACGTCTGTTATATATTATGACAATATTACAATTATTACAATATTTTTAACATAAATGGTTGGCCTTGCTGGCATTGCACCACAGCATGTCACATAAGTCATAGGTTAGCAGTTTTAGCGCCTGCTGACAAATCGTATATTCGACCGGTTATGTAGAATGTTAACTCAATACCGGTAAATCTAGAACTCGATATTGACACCTTATCGCTTTCTTTAGAAGTGTTTTTCATAGCACATGTAGATCAAAATATTCTTGAATTTGAAATACGAACATTTTCGGTTTATAATATTAGAACCCAGTGTTTCCCGAAGCAATGTTACTTTGAATTCTAATGGTTCATTACAATTAATATACACCGTCGGTCCAAAATATTACAACACTAATAAATCTACCTAAATTTTAATTTTTTACTTTTATCCACATTTTTTAATATTTGTATTAATATTATTCGCTCCAGGAGAGACAGAGGGGATTGCCGGTTGGACATCTTACCTTTAACTTTGGACCAAAATACGGAACACGCGTATTCTTGTGAATGAGAGGTCTAACTCCGTGCCATGCATTCTGTTTGCACATAATAAAAAAAGCGAAATGAAATAGAACTTACTTTCAAAGCGGCGAACATAAAAGGAACAACTTTAATATAGGACCAAATCGGAGTTTTCCGACCCACACTTCCAAACAGCTACGAAGCGAAGTAATGTCGAAAATAATGGTAGAACACGACAAAGGGGCAAAATTTTGGAGAAGAGGGTTGATCGGAGTACAGTAAAGTAGAAGTTTGCCAGTATTCAACTGACTGAGGTTAGGGCGACCGTGTGGGGATGACGGTAAGGCTTAGGCCTCGTACACACTTGCATACAAAGTTGCGATTTTGGTATCTGACAATGTTTATAAACAATCGAGAGACAAATTCACATCTACAGACAAGCTTTTGAAACAAAATCGCAGAATTTTTGACTCCCGTTGGAAATAGCAATTTTGCAATTCTTATACAATTTAGCGCAACATTACGTAGTTTTGGTAGACTTTTTCTGTAGTAACAGTGGTAAAACGCTTTATATCTACTTCGCAAATCCCTTCAGAGATTGTATAATGGCTTCACACTCTTCATGGACAATCTGTGATACGATTCTCCACTTCCCAGGTAACGCTGTGCCACTGCCATACTCAGAGATGGTTGAATGATTTCTCTAAATCTATTTTCTCGTTTCTTTCTTTTTGCGCTAAAAGCTGAAGCAATTCTTCAAATTCACTTGGGGTCAGACGGATGAAATTTCGGTCTTCCATTTGCAAAGGTGAAAGTAATTTGCAACAGAATCGAGGTCTCTCCGTAAAAAGTTTACGTTTCGACCAAAGTCTCTTCTTTCTCATCTTTTCACTGGCCATGGTTATCAATGGGCAAGCCGCGATCCCTACAAGGTAAGCCATATGTATATGTAGCAACTTACGAGGAACACGGTATTCAAATGTATACAACGACAATGTCTGTAGGCAGAAGCAGGCTGAAATATTCATGGATAATTTTGAAAAAAATCTTTTCAAATCAAAGAACAAATTAATTAAATATGTTCATTTCTGGAAACGCTATGTAGACGATATTTTATACATATGGTCGGGAACATTAGAGGCTCTCAAAGAATTCCTACAACTAATTAATTCTCTACACCGTAATATAAATTTTACATTNAATTGGAACGTCGCGTTGGCGGAGGTATCAGCGGTTCACTTTGGCAATTCATGTCGAGAGACCTGGTTGTAGAAGTCCTTCAACCTGATGATGAGCTAAAAGGCTCGAAATCCGGATCGTTGCAAAACAACTTACTGTGAGTAGGAACTATCCTTTTAAAAAGTAATGTCTGTAACAGTCCCTAGACATGTCTCTAGACCATCGCTCATATGCAAGTGCTTACAAGGCCTCATAATTAATTCGTAATAAAGACATTCACCCTTGTTGAACGGTCTCATCATTTCAAACTATTTTTCTTCCCAATATGACCACAAACGTAAATCGGAAATATTTGAGTCGCCGTGGCAACAGAGAGATTGTAATAAATGATTTTCTATTTTCTTGAAAGGTTTTGTCACAGGATCTACCCCCTACTACACTTATAATGCTAATGGTGGCCGTATTGGAGGAGTAACTCCTTCTAAGTTCTAATCTTCGACGGGCCTTGCTCCTTTGTTTTTTTGCTGAAGCCATAAATTGGACTGAACTTATTTTACACCGAAGCAAATCAAATTCCCCAAGTTTTTTCCAGAACTGTGTATACCTGCAGAATCTGGACGAGAAGAAATTGGCATCCATGAAGTTCAAGCACTTGGCACTGGAGTTCCAGTACTGGATGCTGCCGGTCGGACGATTTTTTTTTCTTCAATTAGGAAATGGATTCACTTTCTTGAAAATGTGTTTACATCTAACCATTATTAGAACACTAACATAAGACTATGCTAATAAACACGAATTAGGAAACAATTAGTCGATTTAAAAAAAAAACCAGTGGCACAAACCACTGACACAAAGACAAAGCAAAGTAACGACTTTTAGTGAACCAAAACAAAAGTAAAGTTAATCAAGATAGCTACAACAAGGTTATAATAGTAGATAATTAATACACCTAGAAAAAAAATTTCCTCGACGAAACTAGACATGAAGCGGTTGCATCATCAGGGGACACTTCAAAGTGATTCCCTTTAAAATCTATTTTTTCAACATTTTTGATCACGTTCATACCTTTTTCTAAAAAGAAACTACTCCGTCGATTTCCCTATTTTTTATTCAGCTTATAAAGGGATTAATTTTGCTAATGGGGTTTTTTAATTAAGTAAAACTTTTTTTACAAGTTTTGGAAAAAAAACTTTCACTAGTAACTTTTGGTAGTTTATAAAAAATCAACGAGTAAGTTTTAAACATTTCCCTTTGAAGAAATAAGTTTTTTGGCGGGTTGCTCCTCTCAAGCATTGAAGTTTTTGCTCTGATAATTTATATTTTTCACTTTTATAAATTCAAATAATTAAAAATATATATTTTAATAAACTTTATAAAGAGGTAGTATTTTTTTAAAGACATAAAATTCCAAAACATTTATTCATTAACAAGTTAACATTAACATTCGAGATATTAACGTACTGTTCTTATTTAGCAATGTACATCTTGCTACTTGTTCTTACATTACACTCCTGAATCGTTATTTTTGATTTCAAAGCCTCAGGTCCGCAGGGAAAAATATCTTTCGTAGCCGGTCAGAGGGAGTTAGTTGCTATCTTAAACGTTATTTGCAGGGGAGAAGAGGAACATCAATTTAAATCCACAGCTTAGCCCCGGCAAATAAAATCCCATCGATAACCATTAAGTTGAGATTAAGTGAGGTTTCAAATGTAAGAGCAGCAATAATCCTAGCGATCCCTAGAGAAAATATATTCAGCGTTAACACCTTTTGTTTGAGCAAATATTTTATTTTGAAAAACAGTAAAATGTATATACTATTTAAAAAACTATTATAACACTTTAAAAAGAAACATAGACGCGACCGACCCGCTCGATAATAACGGTATTTATAGCTTCACATCAATCCGGATAAAAATACATTGGAACGCAACTGTTTTTATTATTTACAGTTTATACAAATGCTCAATTTTAAAAAAAAAACTGCATCTATATGGCGAACATTTTTAAACTTTTGTTTTGTCAGTATTTCCCATTACTAAAATAATTATATTAATTTAAACTTAATACATAGCAAAGAGGATTAAAACGTTGGAGATAATCCGAGCTTTCATATATGAGACAGACATGACCACTTTTACATTCACAATGTCACGCAACTGTCCTAATTTGATTTGAATTTCCTCGCTATTCTGTATTTTTTTTTTTATTTGAGTGCATTTCTGAATATTATCAAAGTTCTACAACATTATGATCACCCGTCAGAAAAATTTATTTATACGTATAATATTCAGCTTTGCTTTGCGTATATTTATATTACTCCTCGTAAAAAAAATCATAGCAAACTGAAATTTTTACATTTCACGACAATATCTCGTATTACGTAAATCAAAAACCCCGAAGATCGTTGGTTCGAACCCCGCTCGTGACACTACCTTTTTCATTTCAACCAAAACCTTACATAAAAAGATTAATTAATTGTAATAATAATCTAAAAGTTCAAACGTACAAAATACGTAAATATGAAAATAATTTTCTTTTTTTAAACTAAACACCTGTTTGATATATTTTTATTTAAAAAAATAGAAACAAAACTGTCACTTTTCAAATATTATTTTATTAGCAAAAATATTTTTGTTTTAAAAAATCGTTCAATAATAACTATTCCTCTCTCTCACTCACTCTTTCTCTCTCTTTCCCTCTCTCACTCTCTCTCTCTCTCTCTCTCTCTCTCTCTCTCTCGCTCTCACTCTCGCTCTCACTCTATCTGGCTTTATGTACTGCTTTCATTCTTTTTTGCATGCACATAATATTTTTTAGCAAATCTTGGGTTGCACCACTCCTTTATCATTTATTTCAAGAGATGTTAGAGGTTAATCCCCTCAACAAACCATCCGTTAAGTTGGCCAAATATCCAAAGTAAGGTAAAAACTTTCATTGAGTTAGTCTCAGTGTTCAATTTTTAGTTCAAGCTCAGAATTCTTGCTGTCCGCTCGTAGTTATGAGCCTGCGGTTTTCAGGTATTCACAAAAACATGTTGCCTTATCTGACCAAGCGTTATCATACATCAGCAACGATTCGAAGCCTAAGAAAAGCATAAAAGACACTACATGATCGAGTATCTACATATATCTTAAGGCATTCGATCCCACCCGCCTTGGATTGGTACTCGGTTCGTACATCCCAAGACATGCCGCCCCATAGCATGATCGATGATGATGATGATGATGATGATGATGGCATAGAAGGAAG